ATTTAGGAACTAGAGGAAAGTTGTATTTTTCATCATTGCTGCATGGCACCCTGTCTGGGTCGTCTCCTCCCCGAGACCCTTCTGCAAGGGGATCTCGAGTGGCCCTCATTCGCTATGGTAAGATTTTTTGTTCTGATGATGCTTAATACCTGATCCCTTCGACACCTTGTGATCCCAAAGGCCAGTGTGCTTCTTCCATGTGGGCTTTGTTGCTTCTGAGCTAGATGGCCACTTGTTTACCTATAAGCCTTTAAGACCCCAGACGCTGTATCTTCTGATAGCCAGGCACCATCAGCTTTCTTCACCACATTTGCTTATGCACCTATTTGTCTTCAGCGATTGTATCAGGGAGGTGAGCACACAATAATATGATTTTTGGTTCTTTGATGCCTGATAACTGATCCCTTTGGCAGGTCGTGATCACACAGGCTGATGTGCTTCTTCTATGTGGGCTTTGCTAGATGGCCGCTTGTTTATCTTCAATCCTTTACGACCTGAGACGCTATATCTCTTGGTAGCGGGCACCATCAGCTTTCTTCACCACATTTGCTTATTCACCTGCTTTGTCTTCAGCAGTTGTGTCGGGAAGGTGAGCATCATAGAATGCCAATTTCACCCCAAGTACATTTTACTGACACACACGGCCCATGGAGAGTCACAATGCACACTGGCTGGCCACTGCTCTGAGAAAGCACTCTGTGCTACTGTTCTGCTCTGCTCTTGGGGGAGGGGGGGGCAGGGGGGCGCCCTTGCTCTCCACCAGCACTCCCAAAGCACCCTTACAGTAAACCACCTTAGTTCTCTTCTTCCCAGACTCCACAGCCATGCTCAGCTGGGGACCTCAACTCCAGGTCAAGGTCAATGACAGCCTGCAACCAGACCAAACTCACTGCCATCGGGTCCACGCTGACTCACAGTGACCCCAATGGACAGGGTACAGCTGCCCTGTGAGTTTCCGAGGCGGTAGTTCTTTACAGGAGCAGAAAGCTCTGTCCCGTCTTTCTCGCTGGGAGCAGCTGCTGATTTCCCAGTGCTAACCCTAAAGTTAGCAGCCCACCTGCAGTTAGCAGCTCCTACTGAAAACCTCAGATACCTCTGTATCTACTACTGTTGTTTTCAACACTGCATTGTGTTTTAGGTGAAAGTTTACAAAGTAACCCCCGTTTCCACTGATCCCTATTATTCCTGTCCAGTGGTCACTATCTGAGCAACGTGTCAGTACTCCTCATTTGGGCTCCATCTTCTCCATGTCCATCTCTCCTTTTCCTGCCCCTGTCTGTCTTCTCATCTCTGCTTTTGGGCAAATGTTGCCCATTCGATCTCATGTATAATTGATTGTTCTAAGGACTGCTATCATTTAATTCATAGGTAATCTATTTTGGGCTGAAAGGTGACCTCTGGGAGTGGCTTCGGTTACAGGTTAAAAGGGCTTTCTTAGGGCGATAGTCTTGAGGGTTCCTCTAGTCTGGACTGGTCTAGTAAATCTGATCTTCTGTATGAAACTGAGTATTGCCTTCGCTTTTATTTACTTCTAATCAATCCCTTCTACTGAGTGCCTGGTCAGCTGGCATTATCTGATTCTAGTCTCGGGCTAAAGGAGGCTAGGGTTCATGTGAGTCATTAGTTCTAATTCCTTGGGTCTTTGATTTTCTTCACTTGCCTTTGCCTCCAGACAGAAGACAATAGTTGGCCACTTGCAAAAAAAAAAAAAAAAAAGCTGGCCACTTGCAAAACCTTAAGACCAAATTAGGATGTAGAACATTGTCATTGTGAGTTATGTTGTGCCAATTGACCTAGATGTCCGGAGACTACTGTCCTAAGTCTTCAAGCACAGTAACTCAGCTCCGTGAGGTGTTGGGATATGCCTAGAAGTTTCCATGACTGTGCCTTATCTACTCTGTGATCTATGTAAATATATATGCAGCACATAGAAATACATATCGTATATATCCGTGTATGAGCTGAGTTTTTCAGCAATTTTTAATGCCGTTTTTATGGTAAAATTGGGT